TAGAACTGAACTAGAACTGAACTAGAACTGAACCAGAACTGAACTAAAACTGAACTAGGACTGAACTAGAACAGAACTAGTACTGAACTAGAACTGAACTAGAGCTGAACTAGAACTGAACCAGAACTGAACTAGAACTTAACTAAACTGAACAAGATCTGAACCAGAACTGAACCAGAACTGAACTAGAACTGAACTAGAACTGAACTATAACTGAACTAGAACTGAACTAGAACTAGAACTGAACAAGAACTTAACTAGAACTAAACTAGAACTGAACTAGAACTAAACTAGAACTAAACTAGAACTGAACTAGAACTGAACTAGAACTGAACTAGAACTGAACTAGAACTGAACTAGAACTGAACTAGAACTGAACTAGAACTGAACTAGAACTGAACTAGAACTGAACTAGAACTGAACTAGAACTGAACTAGAACTGAACTAGAACTGAACTAGAACTAGAACTGAACTAGAACTGAACTAGAACTGAACTAGAACTGAACTAGAACTGAACTAGAACTGAACTAGAACTGAACTAGAACTGAACTAGAACTGAACTAGAACTAGAACTGAACTAGAACTGAACTAGAACTGAACTAGAACTGAACTAGAAACTAGAACTGAACTAGAACTGAACTAGAACTGAACTAGAACTGAACTAGAACTGAACTAGAACTGAACTAGAACTGAACTAGAACTGAACTAGAACTGAACTAGAACTGAACTAGAACTGAACTAGAACTGAACTAGAACTGAACTAGAACTGAACTAGAACTGAACTAGAACTGAACTAGAACTGAACTAGAACTGAACTAGAACTGAACTAGAACTGAGCTAGAACTGAGCTAGAACTGAACTAGAACTGAACTAGACTGAACTAGAACTGAACTAGAACTGAACTAGAACTGAACTAGAACTGAACTAGAACTGAACTAGAACTGAACTAGAACTGAACTAGAACTGAACTAGAACTGAACTAGAACTGAACTAGAACTGAACTAGAACTGAACTAGAACTGAACTAGAACTGAACTAGAACTAGAACTGAACTAGAACTGAACTAGAACTGAACTAGAAGTGAACTAGAACTGAACTAGAACTGAACTAGAACTGAGCTAGAACTGAGCTAGAACTGAACTAGATCTGAACTTGAACTTGAACTAAACTACAACTGAACTAGAACGCAACACAGGTTACAAACTTAATACAAAATCGAACATACTTTCCTTAACCTCTACATCTTGTTAACCTTACAAAATTGTTAAAGATTAGCTTAGAAATGTATAAAACATTTGATATATGAATAAATGCCAATTGAAAGCATTACAATTTTGAAGGTAACGTTTGTAATAAAATTTAATGGTCTACATTTTTTTGATGGACTTTTAACGATTTTGTTTAAGTTTATAAAGTAAAATAATGTGGTGATAAAATTCTATAGTACCGAGCAACATTATGGTTCATAGAAGTTGTTAAATGTATTTAAAAACTAACGAGAAAAGATTAAAGAAGGTCAATTTTTGAGGGATTAAAATGACTAAATTATGTGGGCAATTAAATGGCATTGAACTATTAGCAATTTTTAAGTTAGTGTTTAATGGCTTTAGATTTCATTTACTTTAAATAAATTGTATTAAAATTTAGGTGCTATTTATGTAAATCGGTCCAAATGGTACTTTTGGCTCATAATTATTGATAACGACTACTCATTACTACGTAATGTATTAAATAACTACATTAACAAGATTATCCATTATCAACATTTAAAGATTTTGTGGAATAAATGATTGAAAAATTAGCTATTTGTTATAAATATTTGTAAGATATACATATTTTAGATTTTTTGTTTTGTATTTTTATAGAAAAAAATTTCAAAAAGTTAATTTTTAATAGAAAATTTTACGATAAACTCTATTTTTAAAGAAAAGTTTTCAATAAATTCTGTAATAAAAGTAATAGTTTCAATAACACTTATTTTTATAAAAAACATTCAATTTTAGAAAATTTAAAACATTTCCTTTTTGTAAAAGATTTCTGATAAATTCGTATTTAGTAATTAATAAATACATACATATTTACGAAACTTTTTGTTCAAAAATCTAGCCTACATAGACCATCAACAATTTATACTTATATTTAATAATAACTAGAGTTTGCCCAGCGGTCGAAATTCGACCAGAACCTTGCTGGAAAAAATGCATAAATATGCTAAAATAAAACACTATAAGTTTGTCGTTCCGTGTGTAACACCAAGAAATATTCATTTAAGACCCAACAAAGTATATATATTCTGGGTCCTTATCAAATTCTGAGTCGATTTAGCTATGTCCGTCTGTCCGTCTGTCTGTCTGTGTAAAACACGCTCGCGTTAAAACTAAGCAAAGGAAATAAACCAAATTTACCCAAAATATTTATTATTATCCTAAGCAGTTTGGTATTGAAAATGAGCAAAATCGGTTCACAACGTAAAAAGTTATGAGTAAAAATTTCAAATTACGTTTTTTTCATAATTCTTTTGAAGTTTTCTCAGAAACCACCAAAGATATTTCGATGAATTTTGTCATACATTATTTTTTCAGGGTAGTGATCAATTATGTTTAAAATCTTTACAATCGATCGAATATTTCCCATAGCACCCGGAAATTAGTTTATCGTTAATAACTCCCTCAAATATATCGGTATCAACACGAAATTTTGTACATGTAAATATAATATGAACAGAAATCATACTGTCAACGTAGATCTCAGTCGGTCCACAATTGGTCATAGCTCCCATATAAGGTCCACTTCCGAAAATCACCTAAACGCACATATTTCATTGATGAATAAAGCTATTGTGATAAAATTCGAGTTGGATATGTTTTGTGTACATACAAATCATTCTACCAATTTTTTTACGGATCGGTCCATTATTGGTCATAGCTCCCATATAAAGCCCACTTCCGAAAATCATTTAAACACATATATTTCATTGTCAACTAAAGCTATTTTGATGAAATTCGACACAAATATGTTTAGTCGAAATATAAATCACTCTATGAAATTTTTTCCGGATAGGCCCATAATTGGTCATAGCTCCCATATAAGGTCGACTTCCGAAAATCACTTAAACGCATATATTTCATTGAATTATGAAGCTATCGGGATAAAATTCGACACAAATCTGTTTTGTATACATACAAATCTTTCTACAAAATTTTTTACGGATCGGTCCATTATTGGTCATGGATCCCATATAAGGCCCACTTCCGAAAATCACTTAAAAGCTCATATTTCAATGTCAAGTAAAGCTATCTTGATAAAATTCGACACAAATATGTTTTGCCTAAACATGAATCACTCTACGAAATTTTTTTCCGGATAGGCCCATAATTAGTCATAGCTCCCATATAAGGTCCACTTCCGAAATCACTTAAACGCATATATTTCATTGAATTCTAAAACTATCGGGATAAAATTCGACTTGAATATGTTTTGTGTACGTACAAATCATTTTACAAAATTTTTTACGGATCGGTCCATTATTGGTCATAACTCCCATATAAGGTCCACTTACGAAAATCACTTAACAGCACATATTTCATTATCAACTAAAGCTATCTTGATAAAATTCGACAAAAACATGTTTTGTCCAAATATGAATCACTCTGCGAAATGTTTCCCGAATAGGCCCATAATTGGTCATAGTTCCCATACAAGGTCCACTGCCGAAAATCACTTACACGCATATATTTCATTGAATTCTAAAGCTATAGGGGTAAAATTCGACTTGAATAAGTTTTGTGTACATATGAATCATTCTACCACTTTTTTCTCGGATCGGTCCATTATTGGTCATAGCTTCCATATAAGGTCCACTTCTGAGAGTCACTTAAACACACATATTTCATTGTCAAATAAAGTTAATTTGAGAAAATTCGACACAAATATGTTTTGTCTTTACATAAATCACTCTACGAAATTTTTTGCCGATAGGCATATAAAACATTGTACCAATTTTTTCTGGATCGGTCCATATTTAGTAATAGGTCCACTTCAAAAAATCCCTTAAACGCACATATTTAATTATCAAATAAAGATATCTTGATAAAATATGATTTGTGCACATATGAATCACTCTGCGAAATTTTTCCGGATAGGCCATTAATTGCTCATAGCTCCTATATAAAGTCCACTTTCTAAAGCCACCTAAACGCACATATTTCATTGATTAATAAAGCTATTGGAGTAAAATTAGACTTGATCTTTTTCTGCATATAAATCATTATACGAAATTGTTTCCTGATCAGTCCATAATTGGTCACAACTCCCATATTCTGTGTATAGATACATCATTCTATTAAAATGTTTTCGAACTGGCGTATTAATATAAATTTTTCTGGACCTAATCAAAATTAGTTCGACAAAAATTTTGGCAAGTTATCTAAAAATTAGATAGTTAGATGGGTTTCAATAAGAAGTAGTTTGCTGGTGGAGGGTATTTAAGATTCGGCATAGCCGAATATAGCACTCTAACTTGTTTTTAATTTCAAGAATACGTACGTGTGACTATTGTTTTTATGTATTAGTAACAACTTTAAACGCTTATAGCTCCTAAAATTCTGAACCGATCTCATTAATATATATATTGTGCACATCTGTGAACAAATACCTTTAAAATGATATATATTTCATCAGATGTATACGGTAAGAGTAAAAGCGGTCACAAAAAATTGTATTGCCTATTAATTATATAGATTCTCATAAAACTAAATAAATATTTTACAGAAATTTGTAAAAAAAAAACTCATTAATTTGTTATTTTCCAAAAAGTTTATAATTTTTAATTATTTTAACATTAATTTCTTTAAAATTGTAATAGAATCAACAAAAAAACTCGATCAAATGCCAACATATGTTTACATTAATGATATGGCAACCTTTAAAAACAGCTGTGAGAAGAATAATTGCACAAAGAGAGAGAATAGAAATAAATACAAAAGCGAATGACTAAACAAAACAAAAACAAACCGACAACTGTTTGCTATCTCTTAAGTATTTGTTGTTGCTATTATTTATATTTATTTATTTGTGTGACCTGTTTTTTGTTGTTGCTTATATTCCAACAAACAAATAATAGAAATTGGACTTTGTATTTTTTCTATTGTTTATTGCGAATTTTTGCTTTTAGCTGCAGACAGTTTAATTTTAAGTTACAAAGTGTTAGAAGGTAAAATTGAAAAAGAATTGGTAATAATTATAATAAAAAATTTAATAGAAACTTTATTTACAGTGTTATTTATAGGAAATAATGGTACGTGGTCAATTGTATGCCTCCAGCAAGAAGTTGGGTATTTCCCAACCTTTGCCAGTTTTGCTAAGATCAATGGCTACTCAATCATCTAGTCATTCGGATTCTTATCAATATTTGCAACGCTCTAAATTGCCTACATTGTATTTTCAAAAATCTTTACCTCGTCTACCCATTCCCTTGGTAGACAAGACTTGTGAACGTTTCTTAGCCGCCGTGCAACCCATTACCAGTTCGGATGAATTTAAAGAAACGCAACAGATTGTGGAAAAGTTTCGTATGCATGAGGCGGCCGATTTGAATGCTCTGCTAAAGATAAAAGATGAGGCCAATAAACATACCAGTTATATATCGGAACCATGGTAGGTAATATTAAAACAAATTGATAAGATTTCCCCAAATCCATTTTAATATTAAAGGTTCGATATGTACTTGAGAGATCGTGTTCCCTTACCTTTAAACTACAATCCCTTGCTGGTGATGAAAAACGATTCACGTCCCCAATATCAACAACAAACTGTACGTGCTGCCAACCTTATCATCTCATCTTTACGCTTTTGGCGTTCCCTGCAAGATGGTGTTCTTGAACCCGAAGTTTTCCATTTAAATGCCAAAAAGACTGATAATGAAAAATATCGCCGTTGGATGCGTATAGCACCCACAATAATAGCCACCTATGCCTCGTATGCCTTTAAAGCATTCCCTCTCGATATGAGTCAATATGAACGTTTGTTTGGTACTTCTCGTATACCGGAATTCGAAAAAGATCGTTTAGTACAATCGCCCAATTCCAAACATATAATGGTTATGCGTCGTGGTAATATTTATGCTGTAGATGTACTAGATGCTAATGGTAATATAGAGCCTGCAAAAGAAATATTGGCTCGTCTTAATGCTGTCATTAAGTTAGATGAAACTAAAACGACTGCTGAGGTTCCTTTGGGTGTTCTTACCGCTGATGAACGTAATGAATGGGCTGGCATAAGGCAACATATTGTTAGCAATAGTGTGAATAATTCTTTGTTGACGCAGCAGTTGGATACGGCTTTGTTTTGTGTTTGCTTGGATACACAGGAAGATCCGGTGTATGAGGAAAATAATCCAGTTCCGGTCTTAAAGCATTTATTGGCTGGAAAGGGAACTAATAGGTAAACTGTCTATTTTATTATCATATTCATAAATGATTTAATTGCTTAGCAAAAAAAACGATTGATTTGAACTTTGAAACTTTAGCCAAATTAGATAACGTTAACCAGTGCGATACACTTTTTACGTCTAGCTCAGTCAGATCAGTCAGTTTTTAATTAACTATACTTCAGTTCTCGTTCAGTACTAATTCTGTTCTAGTTCAGTTCCATTTCAGTTATGATCTGTTCTGTTCTAGTTCAGTTCTAGTTCAGTTCTATTTCAGTTGTAGTTAAGTTCTAGTTCAAGTTCAGTTCTAGTTCAGTTATAGTTCATTCCTAGTTCAGTTCTAGTTCAGTTCTAGTTCAGTTCTAGTTCAGTTTTAGTTCAGTTCTAGTTCAGTTCTAGTTCAGTTCTAGTTCAGTTCTAGTTCAGTTCTAGTTCAGTTCTAGTTCAGTTCTAGTTCAGTTCTAGTTCAGTTCTGGTTCAGTTCTAGTTCAGTTCTAGTTCAGTTCTAGTTCAGTTCTAGTTCAGTTCTAGTTCAGTTCTAGTTCTGTTCTAGTTCAGTTCTAGTGTAGTTCTAGTGTAGTTCTAGTTCAGTTCTAGTTCAGTTCTAGTTCAGTTCTAGTTCAGTTCTAGTTCAGTTCTAGTTCAGTTCTAGTTCAGTTCTAGTTCAGTTCTAGTTCAGTTCTAGTTCAGTTTCAGTTCTGTTCTAGTTCTGTTTTAGTTCAGTTCTAGTTCAGTTCTAGATCAGTTCTAGTTCAGTTCTAGTTCAGTTCTAGTTCAGTTCTAGTTCAGTTCTAGTTCAGTTCTAGTTCAGTTCTAGTTCAGTTCTAGTTCAGTTCTAGTTCAGTTCTAGTTCAGTTCTAGTTCAGTTCTAGTTCAGTTCTAGTTCAGCTCTAGTTCAGTTCTAGTTCAGTTCTAGTTCAGTTCTAGTTCAGTTTTAGTTCAGTTCTAGTTCAGTTCTAGTTCAGTTCTAGTTCAGTTCTAGTTCAGTTCTAGTTCAGTTCTAGTTCTGTTCTAGTTCAGTTCTAGTACAGTTCTAGTCAGTTCTAGTTCAGTTCTAGTTCGTTCTAGTTCAGTTCTAGTTAAGTTCTAGTTCTAGTTCAGTACTAGTTCAGTTCTAGTTCAGTTCTAGTTCAGTTCTAGTTCAGTTCTAGTTCAGTTCTAGTTCAGTTCCTAGTTAAGTTCTAGTTCAGTTCTAGTTCTAGTTCAGTACTAGTTCAGTTCTAGTTCAGTTCTAGTTTCAGTTCTAGTTCAGTTCTAGTTCAGTTCTAGTTCAGTTCTAGTTCAGTTCTAGTTCAGTTCTAGTTCAGTTCTAGTTCAGTTCTAGTTCAGTTCTAGTTCAGTTCTAGTTCAGTTTCTAGTTCAGTTCTAGTTCTGTTCTAGTTCAGTTCTGGTTCAGTTCTAGTTCAGTTCTAGTTCAGTTCTAGTTCAGTTCTAGTTCAGTTCTAGTTCAGTTCTAGTTCAGTTCTAGTTCAGTTCTAGTTCAGTTTAGTAGGTTCAGTTCTAGTTCAGTCTAGTTCAGATTCTAGTTCAGTTCTAGTTCAGTTCTAGTAGTCTAGTTCTAGTTCAGTTCTAGTTCAGTTCTAGTTCAGTTCTAGTTCAGTTCTAGTTCAGTTCTAGTTCAGTTCTAGTTCAGTTCTAGTTCAGTTCTAGTTCTGTTCTAGTTCAGTTCTAGTTCAGTTCTAGTTCAGTTCTAGTTCAGTTCTAGTTAAGTTCTAGTTAAGTTCTAGTTCAGTTCTAGTTCTAGTTCAGTACTAGTTCAGTTCTAGTTCAGTTCTTTTTCAGTTCTAGTTCAGTTCTAGTTCAGTTCTAGTTCAGTTCTAGTTTAGTTCTAGTTCAGTTCTTGTTCAGTTCTAGTTCAGTTCTAGTTCAGTTCTAGTTCAGTTCTAGTTCAGTACTAGTTCAGTTCTAGTTCAACTCTAGTTCTGCTCTAGCTCAGTGCAAGTTCAATTAGAATTCACTTCATGTTCAGTTTTATTTCATTTCTAGTTCTGTTCTAGTTCAGTTCTAGTTCTGCTCTAGTTCAGTTCAAGTTCAATTAGAATTCACTTCAAGTTCAGTTCTAGTTCAGCTCAAGATCAGTTCCATTTCAGTTCTAGTATAGTTCTAGTTCCGTTATGATTTAGTTCTAGTTCAGATGTATATAATTGCAATAATATAACACAACTAATTCGTCATTACTTCAAATTCAAATTTTTGTTTCTTTTCCAGATGGTTTGATAAATCTGTATCCATTCTGTTAAGTGCTGATGGTACAGCTGCTGTTAATTTTGAACATGCCTGGGGCGATGGTGTAGCCGTTTTACGTTACTTCAATGAAATATACAAGGAAACTCTCAACAAACCCTTTTTAAGTACCAACGACCTTGAAGCTGTATCCAGTCATGCTGTAGAAACCTCAACCGTACGCCATCTCAATTTCGAAATCGATGATAAACTTAAGGAATTAGTAAAACAATCGAATAATAGAAATCAACAGAATATTAAACCGCTTAATATGCACATGTTACGCTATCCACATCTAAGTAAAAATGCCTGTAAAAGAGATCGTTTAAGTCCGGACTCTATAATGCAGTTGTCTTTCCAACTGGCCTATAGACAAGCTTTCGATAAATATGTGGGTACATATGAATCCTGCAGTACAGCTGCTTTCAAACATGGACGCACTGAGACTATGCGTCCCTGTACCAATGCCACCAAACAGTTCTGTGAAAGTGTTTTAGATTCCAAGACTAATAGCGATGCCAAATATTTACGTACTCTTATCGATCAATGTTCTACTTATCATGGTCAACTGACAAAAGATGCTGCCATGGGTCAGGGTTTTGATCGTCATTTATTTGCCTTAAAACATACAGCCGCTATTAATAATAAACCTTTGCCAGAATTGTATAACAGTGTAGCCTTTAAACGTATTAATCACAATATTATAAGTACTTCCACCTTATCATCGGATGCTTTATTAGCCGGTTCATTTGGTCCTGTAGTACGTGATGGCTTGGGTATTGGGTAAGTTTCCTCGTTTTTCTCTAAATTTAATTTCCTTTAATTCTTATTCTCTTTATTCGCTGTTTTTTTCTCCTTTCTAATTGCAGTTATTCCATACAAAATGAAGAATGTGGCGCTATTGTTACATCCTATGAAAATGGCTGTAATGGCCAGGAATTTATAAACAGTTTAGAACAAGCCTTTAATGCTATACGCAAAGTCATTGTTGAAAGCAAATAACAAGTAAAAAGTGTGCGTAGTTTTGTTTTAGTTGTTCCTTTTTGCCAAAGCATTTAATGCGTTTTTGAGCAATTAATTTCATTACCCTTTTTTTTTTTTTGCTTTCATGTATTGCCGGTTTGTGTGTTTACAAAACGCCCTTTAAGACTAAATGGTTTTGGCATAAAAACAAACCATAACATGTTCTCTACTTCTGTATTTACCATTTTCCATTTTATTTTTATAATTTTAATTGTTGCATTTTTGCTCCCTGCTAAAGAGATTAAATTTCTAATTATGTTTTTTTTTTATATATTTTAAAGTGTATCAGGATTAAGTTATAAGATCAATTACGAAAGTATGAAAAATAAAGTGAAAACTAGTTAAAATTTTAATTAAAGTTTGTACAATTAGTTATAATTAAAAATCAAAAACTAGAACTGAAATAGAACTTGAACTGAAATAGAACTAGAACTGAACTAGAACTGAACAAGAACTGAACTAGAACTGAACTAGAACTGAACTAGAACTGAACTAGAACTGAACTAGAACTGAACTAGAACTGAACTAGAACTGAACTAGAACTGAACTAGAACTGAACTAGAACTGAACTAGAACTGAACTAGAACTGAACTAGAACTGAACTAGAACTGAACTAGAACTGAACTAGAACTGAACTAGAACTGAACTAGAACTGAACTAGAATTGAACAGGAACTGAACTAGAACTGAACTAGAACTGAACTAGAACTGAACTAGAACTGAACTAGAACTGAACTAGAACTGAACTAGAACTGAACTAGAACTGAACTAGAACTGAACTAGAACTGAACTAGAACTGAACTAGACTGAACTATAACTGAACTATAACTGAACTAGAACTGAACTAGAACTGAACTATAACTGAACTAGAACTGAACTAGAACTGAACTAGAACTGAACTAGAACTGAACTAGACTGAACTAGAACTGAACTAGAACTGAACTAGAACTGAACTAGAACTGAACTAGAACTGAACTAGAACTGAACTAGAACTGAACTAGAACTGAACTAGAACTGAACTAGAACTGACTAGAACTGAACTAGAACTGAACTAGAACTGAACTGAACTGAACTGAACTAGAACTGAACTAGAACTGAACTAGAATTGAACTAGAATTGAACTAGAACTGAACTAGAACTGAACTAGAACTGAACTATAACTGAACTAGAACTGAACTAGAACTGAACTAGAACTGAACCTAGAACTGAACTAGAACTGAACTAGAACTGACCTAGAACTGAACTAGAACTGAACTAGAACTGAACTACAACTGAACTGAACTAGAACTGAACTAGAACTGAACTAGAACTGAACTAGAACTGAAATAGAACTGAACTAGAACTGAAATAGAACTGAACTAGAACTGAACTAAAACTGAATTAGAACTAAACTAGAACTGAACTAAAACTGAATTAGAACTAAACTAGAGCTGAACTAGAACTGAACTAGAACTAAACTAGAACTTAACTAGAACTTAACTAGAACTGAACTAGAACTTAACTAGAACTTAACTAGAACTTAACTAGAACTTAACTAGAACTTCACTAGAACTTAACTAGAACTGAACTAGAGCTGAACTAGAACTGAACTAGAACTGAACTAGAACTGAACTAGAACTGAACTAGAACTGAACTAGAACTGAACTAGAACTGAACTAGAACTGAACAAGAACTGAACTAGAACTGAACTAGAACTGAACTAGAACTGAACTAGAACTGAACTAGAACTGAACTAGAACTGAACTAGAACTGAACTAGAACTGAACTAGAACTGAACTAGAACTGAACTAGAACTGAAATAGAACTGAACTAGAACTGAACTAAAATTGAATTAGAACTAAACTAGAACTGAACTAAAACTGAATTAGAACTAAACTAGAGCTGAACTAGAACTGAACTAGAACTAAACTAGAACTGAACTAGAACTGAACTAGAACTGAACTAGAACTGAACTAGAACTGAACTAGAACTGAACTAGAACTGAACAAGAACTGAAGTAGAACTGAACTAGAACTGAACTAGAACTGAACTAGAACTGAACTAGAACTGAACTAGAACTGAACAAGAACTGAAGTAGAACTGAACTAGAACTGAACTAGAACTGAAGTAGAACTGAACTAGAACTGAACTAAAACTGAATGAGAACTAAACTAGAACTGAACTAAAACTGAATTAGAACTAAACTAGAGCTGAACTAGAACTGAACTAGAACTAAACTAGAACTGAACTAGAACTTAACTAGAACTTAACTAGAACTGAACTAGAACTTAACTAGAACTTCACTAGAACTTAACTAGAGCTGAACAAGAACTGAACTAGAACTGAACTATAACTAGATCTCAACTGAAGTGAATCAAGCTAAAACTGAACTAGAACTGAGCTGGAACTTTGTGTTATTATTCCTCTAAATTTACCAATGTTTTATTTTAAATCCATACATATCCATTTCTACACAAAATACCCATTAAATAATTTCCTTACTTCTCTATGTTCTCGAAGACCAAATCCATTGTATTCCATATAAACATTTTAAACCTAGAAGAATGCACAACATACACTTCACACCAAACAACAACAACAAAACCTATGAAAAAAACTAAAAGGAATCAAAAATATTCACACAAAATTTTTACCACAATTGAGAAAAAAAAAGAAGAATGAATAGAATTTCCTTTTTAAATGCAAAAAAATTAAGCAATAAGAATAAAAACGAAATAGTTGTGTTGATTGATGTGAAAATCGATTTGAATGCGAATATATTCTTTCTACAGCAAACATTTTCACAAAAGTATGTGAAAGATCATTGTGAAAAGGGACTTAATGTGGGGGAAAAATACATACTACATACTCGCATTAAACCTTGTTGTATTTACTAAATTGCATCGTAAATAACAATAGAGGAACGAGAAAAAAAGAATCATTTATATACAATATTATATACATAACAATCACATATGAAACCTAATACATCATTCTATTTATATACAAAACTTTTCTAAATTCGTATTTTTTTTTTAAACATACAATCAAATCATTGAGATATTTAATGAAATAGAAAACAAGCTGCTTCATTTAGGAAATATTTTCACATATTGTAAAAAATTGCAGAAAGAAAGGTCACTCTATAATATCAGCATCGGAATCTTTCAGGTGCATCGCCCGTAATCTATCTGACAGACATGTGTTTGTCGAGTTCAGAGATCAAAAATACAAAAACCTCTCACGGATTCTTTTTAATCTATATTATCTTGGTCCTAACGGTTTTTATCTGATAATCTTTACTGTTGATTTGGAATATTCCGATATCGATTCAAATCAAAATAATATTGAAAATATCTATAAATTGACTAGGTGCAATTTTATACAGAATATCTCGAACACCTTATCGATGGCATATGGAAAAGGGCTTAATAACTACCAACAATAACAAAAAAATTAAAGGAATTTCTATTTGTTCTCATAAGAATGAAACGTATTGTATTGGAAAGCAACAAAAATGTATTGAGATATTCAATGTACAATGTGTGTAGGAAATCGTGAACATTAGTCATGCCCTTAAGAATGGATTTACTTTGAATGGATCTAGATTTGTTCATCATTATATCAAATTAGGAATAATAGTATTTTTAACGACCTATTACTTCGTTTCTTCGACAATTTTCGCTCCAAAACGACCCGAGTCATACTCGTCCAAAGATTGTCAATCCCGCGACAACAGTATCAAACGAATATTTTTCCAGCAGGAAGGAACAATCGGCTTCAGTCGAACTATTACGACAAT